GCAAGATTGGTTTAGTATATACGGATCAATAAATGTAATATGATACATAAATGGATAGAAATCACATGACCAGTTCAGTACAGAAATGGCCTTTGATGAAGTTCAGCATTCCTTCATGTTAAACTCTAAAGAGACTAGCAGTGAAGGAAAATACCACACCACCACAAAGAAACACATCACTGTTGCCATTTGCAATACAGAGTGTGCTTACTGTCTGCCTTTGCCTTTACACCCACTGAAGTAAATACTGGTTATTTGCTCAAATGAAAAAAAAGTAAAGGTACATATGACAAGCCTATAGTCAACATAATCCTATGGGGGAAATTTTTATTTTTTATGTTATTTATTTTAAAATATTATGTATACATTGTTTTGTTTGTATATCTGCCTGCATGCCAGAAGAGGGCACCAGATCTCATTACAGATGGTTGTGAGCCACCTAGTGGTTGCTGGGAATTGAACTCAGGACCTCTGGAAGAGCAGCCAGTGCTCATAACCTCTGAGCCATCTCTCCAGCCCAGAGGCAAGTTTTTAAAGCATTTCTTCTAAATCAGGATGAGAAAAGGGCACTTATAGTTGTCCCGCCTCCACTCCTTGGCTCTTTTGGGGCCCAACAGCCAGCTCCCAAATAAGTCACACAGAGACATATTCTTACTTATGAATGCTTGGCCTTGGCTTGGTTTATTTCTCTCCAGATTTTCTTAAATTATCCCGTCTATCTTTTGCCTCTGGGCCTTTACTTTTCTCCGCTTCTGTATACCTTTCTTTACTTCTCACTCCATGGCTTGCTGTGTAGCTGGGTGACTGGCCCTTGATGTCCTCTCCTTTTCCTTTTCTTGTTCCCCAGTCTTCTCCTCCCAGAGTTCTCCTCCTATTTATTATTTCTGCCTGTTAGCCCTGCCTATCTTTTCTTCTGCCTTGCTATTATCGGTTTAGCTCTTTGTTTTTTTTTTTTTTAGAACAATGGGGTGTTTTAGGCAGGCAAAGTAACACAGTATCACAGAGATAACAAATAGAACATAAACATCTTTGCATCATTAAACAAATATTCCACAGGATAAACAAATGTAACACATCTGAAAATATTCTACAACAAGCACTTCTCTGCTTGAAATTTTAGCTAACACAGTGAAACAAATAAAAAGGGAACAAATAGAAAAGTGTGCTGGTTAGGATTTTGGTCAACTTGACCCAAGCTAGGATGACCTGAGAATAGGAAACCTCAAACTGAGAAAATGCCTTAGATTGCCCTGTAAGCAAATCAGTGGAGCTTTTTCTTGATTAATGATTGATGCAGAAGGGCCCATCCCAGTGTGGGTGGTACCATCCCTGGACAGGTGTCCTGGGTTGTATAAGAAATGAAGCTAGTGGTGGTTCACCCATTTAATCCCAGCATACGCAGAGGCAGGCAGATCTCTGAGTTCAAGGTCAGTCTAGTCCATAGCATGAGTTCCAGGACAGCCAGGGCTACACAAGGAAGGGGAGTGGGGGGGAAATGTATAGCTCGATAAAATAAAACTTAAATTCCAAAAAATCTAACAAATTCCAAATGGGTCAAAGACTTAATGTAAGACCCCAAACTCTGACACTGCTGGAGGAAAACACATTAGATATAGGTCTAGGCAAGAACTTGTGGAAAGGACTCCAAGAGCATAGGGAATAATCCTAAACTTTGAAAATGTTCTGTGTATAAAAGGAAACAATCAGCAACAAAGAGATAACCTACACAATGGGAGGAACTGGCTGGAGATGCAGCTCAATGGTTAAGAACACACACTGCTCCTGCAGAGGGCCAGAGTTGTTTCCAGCACCTACAGTGGATGGCTCATTGTAATGCGTGGCTACACTGTAACCCCATCTCTAGGGAACTTGATGCCCTCTTCTGGAATCCTCCAGCACCTGTACACACACACACACACACACACACACACACACACACACACACACACACACCATTTGTAAGAAATTGTGTTGATTGTTTTTGAACCTAGAGTTACTTGGAAGGAGGAAACATCAGTTGGGGAATTGCATCCATTGTACTGCCCTGTGGGCATGTCTGTGGGATATTTACTCCATTGGAGACCTGGGCAGGTGGTCCTGGCTGTGTAAGACAGCAGGCTGAGCAAGCCAGGAGAAATAAGCCAGTAAGAGGTATTTCTGCTCTGACTTCCTTCATGATTGTCTGTAAATTATAAGACGAAATAAGCCTTTTCCTCCCTAAGTTGTTTTGGTTAGTGTTTTATCATAGCAACAGAAATCAAAGTAGAACAAAAAAATTAAAAAAGAATGCGCTAATATTTGCCAACTATACTTTATATGCCCAAATTCCCAAGTATTGTTTATAAATGTTTGTTTTCATTTAAATGGGGTTGGCTATAAATGGTTAATGATCACAACCAATATCTTTTTAAAAGTAAAAAGGGGATTATGATATAGATATGAATACTTTGTTTTGGAATGGATTTTCATTTATTGATACAAATTTAAGGTCAATCTTGTGATGTGTATATTTCTCCTCTTGTTTAGGTATTGTGTAGAAATGTAATGTATAATTCAATTCAGATTATAGATAGTACTTATGATGGTCAGATCTTATAGTTAAGTTAGTTAAGATTTCTAGATATACAGATATACAGATGTATTTGAGATAGATAGGCATTCTTTAAACCCTTCAAAGACCTACAGAATATGGCATTCTAGATATACAGATGTATTTGAGATAGATAGGCATTCTTCAAACCTTTCAAAGACCTACAGAATATGGCATTTAAAATGGTTTAGGGTTTTCCTTGACAGTGAGACATAATTGCTCCTGACAACACAACCTGCATCAGAAAGGAAGATGGACATTAAAGAAACACGTTATAAAGTTTACTTCCAATATGGACAAGATACTGCTCTTGTCTGGACTGTTTGACTTTGTGCTGTATAAACTGGACATGCAGGACCCACAGAAAAGTGACTGCTGATTCAAGATGGATATTGCTACAGAGTTCCTGCTTCATGGAAGAGTCTGCCAGACAGTCTGCAGGACACAGAGAAAAGTGACTGACAAACTGCCAATACAGGAAGACAGTTTAAAGTTTCCTGCTTTGCTGAAGAGTCTGCCAATGGCCTATGGGCTGAAGATGGAAGATTACAAAAGAACTTCAGGTGATTGACAAGGCAAGATGTCTCTGTCAGTTCTATAGTTTATATACTATCCTTCTGTGGTCTTTAAAGGAGTTAAAGACAAATAGTTATGGTTATAGTTTTCCTTAGTTAGGTTTAAAGATAAGTTACATAGATTTTAGACTCACAAAGACAGGATAGATGATGGAATATTTTCTTAAACCTTACTAAATGTTAATGGACTAAATATTGTTAACTGTGATTCTTATCTGATAACTGTTGTGTGATATATTTTGCTATGTTAAGGTTAAACCCTTCTTTTTATTTAGACAGAAAAGAGGAAATGATGGGAGATGTCATTCTGTATGTATATGTTTCTCATACTGGTTAAAGAATAAAGTACTGTTGGCCAATAGGAAAGGAAGATAGGAGGGACTAGGAGACAAGAAGGAAAGAGGAAGGAGTAAGGGGGAGCCAAGATGAAGAGGCTGGGGAGATCAGAGGCAGGCTCCATTCCCCGGTAAGATGAAAGCACATGGAAATATTAGATTAACAGAAATGGGTTAATACTTAAGACAGAGCTAGCCGAAAAGAAACAAGTAACTGGCCAACAGCATCATATCAAATAGAGTCTCTGTGTATTATTTGGGGGCAGGTGCGGCGGCGGGACAAGACAAGCGGCAGGAGGAAAAACCTTACTCCTTACAATTATACATCTAAAAATCTATGACCTATCTTTGAAAAATCTTAGATTTATAAGTAACTCCAAAATTAAGTACGAACTCCACCCCCAAACCATCCAATCAATAAATGGCCAACAACAACAACAACAAAAAAAACCTGAATTAACAGTTCTCAAAAGAGAAAATATTAATAGCTAGTAACTAATTGAGCAGTGTTCACATCCATGTACAACAGAGAGAAGCATACTGAACTGCTTTGTGACCCCAGTCAGAATGGCTATCAGGAAAACAAATAAATGCTATCAAGTTTGTAAAGGAGGAGCCCTATGCACTCGTGATGGGAATGTAAACTAGAATAGCCACTTTGGAAATCTCTATGAAGTCTCAGAAAGAAAATCTAAAAACAGGACTACCAAATGATCCAGCTATAGCCCTCCTGGGGGGAAGACTTGAATGATTCTAAGTCAATAACTACAGACACACACATGTCCATGCTTACAGCTGCTGTATTCACAACAGTTAGGAAATGCCCAAACAGCCCAAACATCCATCAATAGAGAAGTCGGTAAAGGAAATGCATACATACACACAATGCAATTTTATTTAGCCTTAAAGAAATGAAATCATGATATTAACAGGTAATGGAGCATAAAGGAAATCATCATGCTATTTAAAATAAACCAAATTCAGAAAGCCAAACACTGCATTTTCTCTCCTACACAAAAATCTAGGGATTTTCTTCTTGTTGTTTATTGAGACAGGGTTTCTTTGTGTGGCCCTGGCTGTCCTGAAACTTGATCTATAGACCAGGCTGGCCTCAAATTCAGAGGTTCACCTGCTTCTGCCTCCTGAGTACTGAGATTAAGGACATGTACCACCACCACCTGACAAAATCTAGGCTCTTATATTGGTATGGATGTGTGTTGGGGGTGGAGACTAGAAAGGACACTATGAGGAGGAAGGAACTTAAAGTGGAACAAATGGGACATGAAAGCAGAAGGGGATGGCTAGGTAAGAAGGGGATCAGCAAGAAGACAAGAGGACACAGGGGTGTGTGTGGGAACAGAGGATACTGATGCTGTAATAAAGCATACTGCTTTGTCTGCTAATTTACACAAGTCAGCAACACCCCAAACCCTGGCAAACAAAACACCAGATTAAGGGAAAGGAAAAAAAAAAAAAAAAGAAGAAGGAAAAGAAAACTGGTTAACACTCACAGTTACAGCTTTATTCAATGAATAATGGTTTCCTTGTAGAAAACATATGATTTCTATTGATCAGATAATATTTTAGTACGAATAAACACATCTGCACACGGCGGCCTTGTTAAATGGCCTGAGATCACTGTACATCTCAACTGTGCAGGTCTGAACAAGCAGATGTGGTGCTCACTCACTGTGGGTAATTTCCCACTGTATAAACCAGCCTCTCACAGGAAGTGGTTCTGGGTTTCACGGTAACTTTAGTAGACATTTCCTGATTGTGGAGGGACAGAATTGCTTTTGTCTGTCAGGCTGCATGCACTTGTAGCTGTGAGGCATTTTGCAGGTGTTTTTGTCTACCCCACAGTTAAATACACACAGACACATAATGAACACAGGTTAATTTCAATCTTGCCAAACTATAATTATTCATTCTCAAAATTTTCTATGTCTTGTCTCTTCACTACATCCTTACCCCTTTGCTTCATCTAGATTTCTACAAAAATACATGTAGCGTTCCAGGGCCACGCACACTGCTGAGAGAGAGCCTTCCCTGCTATGCCAGCCTTCTCTAGCCTTCATTGAAAATCTGATTCTAATCTCGTTCCTGAGTAATATTATTAAAATATCTTCCTATACTACTTTTGTTGTTGTTTCTCATCGGCCTACACAGCACATGTTTACAGATTTTCTAGGATCAGTCCTAGTTCTTTGTGGAGATATGGGGCAGCAGGTCTCAGAACTCATCAGCTGACTCCGTGTCCCAGCTGCAGGACAGCAGCTGTTCATCCTGAGGGAACTCAACTTCAACGTCATACACAAAACCGGGCTCATCCTTTCTCTTCTGATTTTTCTCAAAAAGTTCATCCATGATGCTCTTCCTTTTGGCGAGCTCCTTGTCATCTAGTTTGTTCAGGTCTTCCTCGGGGTCAATGGTTGTTTCCGTTGAATTTGTTCCATCGTTTCTGCCAAGCTCTGCCCCTGCAAGTAACCTCGTAAAAAAACGAACAGCTTTTCCAGCTGCTTCAGGGACACCTGCTCTAGGTAACTCTTGTGCCGTGGATTATTCTTTAATTGTTCAGCAGCTCTGGTGCAATCTAGGAGGGACAAAGGTGTATACAGCACACATATCACACCCATCACAAATTACTGTAAGGTCAAAAATAGACGTAAATACTGAAATCATTAGCTCCAAGGTAGCTAAATGGCTAAAGGGGTTTATTGAAATCAATTAGTACTCTTTTATTTATTTACTTTTTTCTGAGATGAAAACATATCAACCTGGTAGGGGGAGGGAAGGGGAAGAGAGGAGGGTGGGAAAACTGTGGTCGGGATGTAAATAAATAAATATATTAAATTTAAAAAACAAACAAAAAAAAAAACAAACATTTCATCCTATAGGGAAGCTCCTTGAGACAAAAAGTAAACAGTTCAGAATAACTCCAGGGAGTCCCTAAGGCTGAGCAGACTCACTTGGCTCCTTCCTTCCCTAGAATAAGTAATAAAGACTGCTGAGGGCCTCTCTCAGAGGAGCCAAGCCACGCAAAAGACTCCCGAGAGAAGCCAAACAGCCCCAAAGAAACAAAAACCAATGGAGCGGCCTTAAAGAGGCCCAGACCAACTGAGTCAACTAAAAAGGACGTTCTTCCATCTATTGGGCTACCTGCGGGCTGTGTAGCTGTGTAGAGTGCTCCAGGTTCCCAGATCTTGTGAGCTGCCACCCATGCTGGGGTGGCTTTGTTGATGCAGCTGTCTTTAAGTCATTTCTGCTCCCTTAAGAAACCCCCTCACCCATATTCCTGAAGTAACCCCACTAAAGCTGAGTGGTTCACCAAACTGAACTTCAATGGTATCCACAATTTTGGTCTGCCATGGCTCCCTATCTGAGATAAATACTCATAAGTATGTTGTCTCACACAGTACACACATGTCTGTAATCCTAGCATTTGGAAGAAATGGGAAGATAGAATGTTTGAGGCTAGCCTGGACTACTTAACGAGATAGATCCTGCCTTATAAACAAAACCCACAACAGGCTGGGTATGGTGGTGTATGTTTATAATCGCTTCTCATTCCAGCATCAGGGAGGTGAAGCAGGAGGATATTCATGAGTTCATGCCAGCCGACGTGACATAGAGAGATCTGCCTCAACAAAACAAAACAAACAAACAAACAAACCAAAATAGCTGGTTGGTGGTGTCACATGCTTTTAATCCCACACATTTCATTTTATGCCTGAATGTATGTGTACCATGTGTATGCAGTGCCAGCAGAGGCCACAAGAAGACGACAGATCACCTGGAAATGGAGTTAGAAGATGGCTATGAGCCACCATGTGGGTGCTGGGAACTGAACCCAGGTGCCCTGTGAGAGCAGCAGTGCTTTTAACTGCTGAACCATCTCTCCAGCCTCCAAAAAAAAAAAAAAAAAAACTTTAAATAAATAAATAAATAAACCTTGCTTTGGTATAAAGAAAGACATATAGATTTTTTTCTTTTTTTACTTTTTTAGCCAAAAATTATCTTGTGGGATATTAAAGACTTTCAGCTGAAAAAAAACTGTCTAGTGAGGGAAAATGCCATAACTTTTATAACTTTTATTTACTTTAGAGACTGAGCCTCACTCTGTAGCCTTTGCTGGCCTAGAGATCACTATGCTGGCCCCAGACTCACAGAGATCCACCCGCCTCTGACTCCAAGTGCTGGGATTAAAGGCATACATGCCTGGCAAAAGAAAAAAAAAGTATAGCTTTTTTAAAGGAAGCCATGTGACAGTACTGAAATGCTGTCTACAAGTAAAAAACACTTGGAGAGAGAGGGAAATTTAGTATTATTAAACAGTAGTATATCATTTAACTCATATAACTATTCTAAAATATTAAATTGCTAATTCTTTAACTGGTAAAAAGCATAGATTAGAAAACTCTTAGTTAGGGCTTCTATTACTGTGATAAAACACCATAACCAAAAGCAAGTTGGGGAGGTAAGGATTTATTTGGCTCACCCTTTCATGTCAAAGTTCATAATTGAAAGAAATCAGGCCAGGAACTCAAACAGGGCAAGAACCTGGGGGTAGCAGCTGGTACAGAGGCCATGGAGGAGTGCTGCTCATTGGCTTGCTCCCTGTGGCTTGCTCAACCCAGGACCACCAGCCTAGGGGTTGTAGCACCCACAGTGGGCTGGGCCTTCCCACATCAATCTTATCAATCAAGAAAATGCACCATAGGTTTGCCCTCCGGCCATTGAGGACGTTTTCTCAATGACATTCCCTCTTCCTAAGTGACTCTAGCTTGTGTAAAGAATGCCAGCAAAGAAATTGAAGTTTATGAACAATAAGTGATTTCACCAAGGTAACAATCTAGTCCCTGATTAAGTCATGATTTAAACCTAAGTTTAACTCCGAAGAAGTGCTCACTCCATTGCATAAAACTAAATCCCTCTTTCCCTCCCTCCCTCCCTCTTCTTTTCCCTCTCAGTGGGGGCTACATACAGGAACCTGCACATGTTAGGTAAGTGTTCTACCACTGATCTACATTCCCTTCCCAACCTTTTCTTTCTTTTTTCCTTTTCTTTTTGAGACAGGTTGTCCCAAGTTATCCAGGCTTGAATTTGCAATTTCACCACCTCAGCCTCCTAAAGTGGTTGGATTACAGGTGTATGCCACCATACCTGATTATGTCAGGCTATTTTTATTAAATGACTTAGTATTTAAGACAGGAAGCAAGGGCTGGAGAGATGGCTCAGTGGTTAGGCACTGTTCCCACAGGGTCCCCAAGTTCAGCAACCCAATCAAGTAACCCACACTTGTAACTCCAGCTTCAGGGAATCTGAAGTCCTCTCTCACACGCATGGCGAACACCCACATAGTCACATACACATAAGTAAAAATACATCTGAAGAAAGGTAGGTGGCATGATAAAACAAGGTGTACCTGAGAACTTGGAGAAGTTTCGGACTGGCATGATGCGCTGGCGACTCTTTCCCTCGGTGTCATTGTCATAAATTAAGATGATAGCTGGGGGTTGGAACCTAATTCCGCATTTCTTGGCAATGCATTTCATTTTCACATATAATTCAGGGTAAACTTGAGATCTGATAAAAATGGGACAGCTGTATAACAAGCTCCAGAAAAGGTAAACCTGCCTTCTCCTCCTCCTCCAGCAGATCTTAACCCTGGAATTGTTCAGCCGGCCCAGGCTAGCCTTGGTTCTTGGATTTCCGAGTCTCTGCTTGGTTGGGATTTGGGTCATTCTCACATGAGTGATGTAATCCCATTTGGTCTGGGCCCCTTACTGTACTACATTCTTACCAGAGATTACACATGAACCTCAAGCAGGCCCAAGACCTGACCTACCGGCCTACAGAACCATTTTGGTATTTCAGTTAAAGGATGTCTGAATCATCCTCTATCGATAGCAAAGTATTATGGTCTTCTAAACTTTTTCTTTCTTTGAGTCAGCATCTCATATAGCCCAGACTGGCCTTGAATTTGTTATGCAGTGGAGGATGCCCTTGAACTTGCCCAGTGTTGGAATTACAGGCATGTGCTAGCGAGCTTGGTCTATGGGGGAGCAACAGAAGGGACCCAGGGCTTCAGGCACCCTGCCAGCCGTGCTACATCCCCAGCACTTCCTTCCTTTTAAACAGACATTTAATACTGACAGGTCCACGAGACCAGAACCAACCCCTTGTACTTTCTGAATTCTTTTACTCACCAAGAGGTTATTTTTTAAATCATTACTCACCATTTATCTTCCCTGTTAGTCTACTCGTTCTAGGAAGGCAAGAAATGTGTCCATTTTCATCATGTCCTTAGCACATGTCTGGAACAGAATAAGGGTAATATTTGTTTAATGTTCTGTATTAATATAAAGTTCCTATATATATATTATCCTGGGGAACTGGGGCAGGAGCTAAGTGCTGTTACACATCGTGAAATAATATTAAGCACTGTCATCTGTTACTAGAATTGTTAGTTTTGTGTTGCGGCTTCTTTCTGTGAATGATTCTGACCATGTAGGGCAGTGGTTTCACAGGCCTTTCTTTTATACCTAGCAGCCTGGAGTGGGGAACTGTCAGCTAAGCAGTCCCTTTGCTCATAACTGGCCAGACTCAGCTTTCTTTCCTTCCTTTCCTGTTTCTCTGAGGATATTGTAGAACCACAGCTGAAGACAGCCATCATGAGCACTCCAGCCAGCCTGTACAAGCCTTGGAACGCACATACCAGGCACAAGCCTCATTGAACATAGTAATCCTATGTTCGTCCAAGCTAGAGGGATAGTAATCCCAGTGGCTCAGCAGCAGGTCTGTGATGCAGATCACAATAATCATTTGCATGAAGGGTTGTGTCATTATTGGTGCAAACATCCTTGCCTTGCATCCATCTGGCAGCTGACTTTTGGAGTCACCTGGGATATATACCCTCTTTGTGCTGTTCTAGGTGTTACATGTTACAACATTAGGCTCATTAAAAGGCTTTGCAAATGGCCTTTTCTTTTCTGCCTTTGATCTTTAGTATTAGCAGACCAGAATGAACTATCAACACAAAGAAGAAAGGGCAAAATTGGCACAATGGTAGCAGCCTCCAAGAAGGCAACTGAAGGTTCTGAGAGTAGGCAAATATGGTGGTCTGAATAAAAATGGCCCCCACAGGCCATAGGGAGTGGCCTTATTGGAGAAAGTTTATTAAAGAGGTCTTCCTGTTGCCTATAGATCAAGATATAGAATTCTCAGTTCCTTCTCCAGCACCATGTCTGCCTGCATGAACTAAACAAAACTCTGAACTACAAGCCAAGCCCAAGGAATATTTTCCTTTATAAGAGTTGCCATGGTCATAGTGACTCTTCACAGCAACAGAAACCCTAACTGAGATAGAAGTTGGTACCAGAAGTGGGGTATTGCTATGACAGGCCCAACCATGCTCTTATTTGGAGGAATATGGACTTTGAAGTAGAAAAGCAGCTGAATGATTTAAGTAGGGCTTAATGGGCCATCCTAGTGGGAACATGGGAAACAGTGGTGCTGAGGGTGATTTGAACTGTGGGGGTCTGGCTCAAGAGGTTTCAGAGGAAAAGAATGCTAATAATTGGACTAGAGACTGTTCTTGTGATAAGTTGGTGAAGAATGTATCTGCTTTCTGCCCTTGTCCAAAAAAAAAAAAAAAAAAAAATCTGCCTGAGACTAAATTGAAGCTTTGGATTAATTGCACTATTAGAGGAAATCTCAAAACAGCCTAGTATTGACTCCGTCGTGTGGTCATTAGTGTTCAGTCTTATGCAGATGAATAATGAAAAGAAGCAAACTGAGCAAGGAAAATACAAAATGTACAGTTCAAGGAGAAAAGAGCACCAGAAAGTGGATCTAAATTCTGTGTTCAAGGAGCTACACCGATTGGAGAAAAGACTAGCGTTAAATGGAATAAAGGGCGTAGTGACCTCAGGGCAAGGCCCTGCTCAGCTAAGCTTCCAGTTTGTGAAAAGGATTAAAGAAAAGCTCAGAGCTAATGTGGTGGGTGGTTCATGCCTGTAATCCCAGCAATCCAGAGGCAGAGAGAGGCTGATCTTTGAGTTTTCGGCCCTTCTGGACTACATCGTGAGAGCCAGGATAGCCAAGCTCAGACGGTGAAGGAAATCACCAAACCCAGAAAGCTGGTGAAGATGTATTTGAACGAGGGGGGTCATGTTCCAACCCCAGCAAGCAGCAGAGCTTAGCAGCTGTAGCCATGTGGTTCTGGCTGTAGAGTCAAGGGTAGAAGGAAGGGAATCCCCTCCCACCCCACCCCCATGACTAAGGAAAGCCATTGAGGCCAGGCATGTGTCAGGGGTATCTCTGCATGGAGGACCTACAGAGGCCACTGCATGAAGCTGTGAAGGTAAAGCCTTGTGTTGGAGACCCCAAGATGTTGGAGATGCCAGAGTCATGGGATTCCTGCCAACGAGAGCAGCTTACAGGGAGTGGAGCCAGCCCAGGAGAAAGAAGTGTGCTTCAGTCAACAAAGCTGACAGGAGTTGGAGATCTGAAGAGTGTTTTTACATCAGACATGGAGATGCAGAGTTTAGAGTTTGCTCAGCTGGTTTCTGGTCTTGCTTTGGTCTAATATTTCCTTGCTACGCTCCCTCCCCTATGTTTAGGAATGGTAATGTATAACCTGTGCCACTGTATGTTGGCAGTATGTGATTTGTTTTTTTGGTTTTGATTTCATAGGGGATTATAGTTAAGAGAGTGCATGAATTTCAGTATAGACTTTGAACTTTGCCTTTTAAACATTTTGAGACAGATAAATTAAGGGACTTTTGAAGTTGAACTAAATGAATTTTCATTGTGTTATGGGAGTGGAATGTGTTGGTTTGAACAGGAATGGCCCCCACAGACTCATGTGTTTGAATGCCTGCCACTTTTAGGAGGTGTGATCTTGATGGAGTGGCTGTGGCATTGTTGGAGGAAGTGTCACAGATCTCTTCCTACTGCCTGCAGAGATGTAGAACTCTCAGTTACCTCCCCAGTACCATGTCTGCCAGCATACCACCATGTCCAGCCCTGATGATAATAGGCTGGACCTCTAAACTGTAAGCCAGCCCCAATGAAATGTTTTCTTTATAAGAGTTGCTGTGGCCATGGTGTCTCTTCACAGCAACAGAAACCCCAACTAAGACAGTAACTAAAGCAGAGGCAGCAGAAGCTATGAGACTTTGGTGCTGAAGAGTTTCAGGGAGCTTCCTGGCCTTGAAGCTTAGGGTTCTCCTGGCCTAGCCATTGTAGGAATGAAGAATCTTAAGACCCCCCCCCCAGGAACTGTAACTTAGTTCTGTTGAAGAACAACTATAGGCACATTCCTTAAGAAATTGATAGTAGCCCCCCACTCAAAATAAAACAAAGCAACACAAAAAAACAAAACAACAACTGCCAGAATTGGTGGCTCATGCCTTTAATCCCAGCACTAAGGAGGTAGAGGCAGGCTGATCTCTGTGAGTTCAAGGCCAGCCTAGTCTACAGAGCCAGTTCCAGGACAGGCTCCAAAGCAATACAGAGAAACCCTGACTCGGGAAAAAAAAAAAAAAAAAAAAAAAAGATTGTATTTATATTTGTTCATTATAGAAAAATAGGGACAAAAGAGGAAGAAAACAAAACATATTCACCTAACTTCCACTCCTTTTTTCTAGCTATAAGTATATATACATATACTACAGTATATTTGAATATCATATGATTTCCTGAATTAAAATGCAAGTTTTGTGGTTGCCAAGTAGATTTGTCATATAGGACCATAATCTGTATTCTCACCCCTACTGTTAGATGTGAGACTTTTTATTCTTATGAGATTATTCATAATAAAGAGTTGCTTTTCATATTGCTATGCTCTGCGTTTGATCTGAGTCACTGACCAGATACTACTCCCAGTTTACCTCACTAAAGTATGATGCTAGTATACTTTCTAAAAAATACTACTAAACATACTACATGGCCTACAAACACAAACAAACTGCTACACTTGTGAACAGAATTGACAATAATGTAAGATTGACTATAGAGTTTTCTTTTTTAAATTTTTTGTTGTTGTTAGGTTTGGTTTTGTTTTTTCTCAAGACAAGGGTTCTCAGTGTAACTGACCTGGAACTCACTTTGTAGACCAGGCTGGCCTCGAACTCAGATACCCACTTGCCTCTCCCTCCTGAGTGCTGAAATTAAAGGCAGCCTGGCCTTTTTTTTGGGGGGGGGGGGGGGGCTTTCTCTCGAGATCTTTTTTTTAAAGCTTTTTTTTTTTTTTTCCCTGTGTGACAGCCCTAGCTGTCCTGGAACTCGCTCTGTAGACCAGGCTATACTTGAACTCACCGAGATCCACCTCTGCCTCCTGAGTGTTGGAATTAAAGATGTGCACCACCACATCTGGTTGTCCATCTTAACAGTGTGCTTGCAGTGTTATATTACACTCTCTTTCCACTTTGAGACCTCATAGTCTGGTCAGCAACAGCACTCTCCACAACTGGTAACACTCTCCACAACTGGGAGAAGTGGCTGTTCTTGTAAGGACACACTTTTCTTCCCGGGGATCAATGACTGTGTACCTCACAACACCTAAGGGGGTACGGATTTCCCAC